AATAAATATCAAATGAATTATTTTAATACACTTGTGATATAGGATCATATAGGTAAGAGATGCAGAAGAGCTCATATCGCACATACAGCGATCAAGGTGTGAAATCGTTACTAAAATAAGCAAATATTAAGAATATTTCACTAACAGAGCGTGCATGAGATCAAAAGCAGCACTAAAGTTTTTTTTCTTCAGAAAAATATACCTTTTGACATAATCATTAATGTTGTATAACTTTAAACATGTTTTGTTATTCAGTTTGCTGATATTTAGTTAAATTCCACTAAGCTGTTTTCGTTATGCGATTCATGTTTACTGTCGAATAATTATACAATACTTTCATTTTCACTGTAGGGGCGATTCATTTCTATTGTAAATGCGTTTCATTTTCACAGTATGAATCGTTCTCATTTATACCAAAATAGAGTGTTAGTTCAGCTGACTCACTGACAAAACTAAATAAAGTCAGAATGATTTGATGATGATTACGTTGTGAGTGAAAGTCTAAGGAATTACAAAAATGAATTCCATAAAAATAAGAGCATTTATTGCTAAAAATATTCAATTCTGTTTTTTTAATAATTCATCAGGATATGCATGAAGCGTTGAATTTATCCATTCCATTGGCATTTCATCATTGAATACATAAACCTTGTACAGTTAAGCAAATTAACGGCACCCGAAAACTATGCTGAAGTTTAGAGTTTCGGTCTATATCTAGTTTACTAAACATAACATACTAATGAAACGTCATTAACGAATGCATCTTGGATAAGCAAGAGCGTTTACACAGCGACCTACATTCTACACTTGAGTGACTGGTTACGTTTTCACTTCAGTTTATGTTTCAATTTAAGGAACTTTACATATCAATGCAACTTCATCAGTGCGTATATCTTGGACATTAAAAGAATACCCAATTTTGAAATTACAATGACATATTTATTGTTACAAGTTTTAATGATTCTATATCACTGGTATCTCTACCGTTCAGTTGATTTCGGAGGTTGGTGTGTTGCGAAGCGAAGTTGGTAGATAGAACGTTCATAAATTCTTCTTCAGAGACTTATGGCCGTAACAGTAGGTATAACATGTAAAAAGGAAAACAAAAAGTTTACTACTTCCTGTGAGTATTGAGATTTTTTATAAAACATGAACCCCCATTATTAATCTAAACAACAAAAATCATTAAACACGCGGTCACATTTAATTTTCGAGTCAACATATCATGCTTTTATTTATAGTTAATTCAAGTTAGTGTTACACATAATCTATGTTTTGTGATGTTTAAAATTAATTTGAATTCACGTCTATTCAAAATAGTCACAACGAATGTGAAAACCGTTGTTATATTTCATATATACATGTTTAGAGACCAAACTCCGAATTTCGTCATGCTTTGTTTATTTAATATTGTTTTTGTTAAGTAAAATCATTGCAAATCATTGTACTGTGTGTTGTGCATTTAGTTTTGACAACTCAAAGCTGATCAGTATAGTAAACATAACGTATATAACATAATGATAGTGATTGACAACTTTTCAAAGCTTGTTTAATAAAGTACTACAACTTTTTAAGGACAATTCGCCGTAAAAATGCTTTACACTCATGGATTTTCTACTCCCGAATATTTTCGAAACCCTGACATACTTATTAATAGCAAACTCAGGACGATGTGTCGCATATCATCATGACCTTCGTGTGACTTTTACCTCAAGATCAAAATACTAGATTTTTAGAGTTACTTTTGCGAAATCTCTAAGTCAGGTGCTCTCGATGAGTGGGCTGTACTTGGTTCCATATTAAACAAATACAAAATTCAGGTGCTTTAATTTTCAATATGAAATGGTAGAAATGTCGTAATAAAAACTATAAGATGGGTATTTCAAAGGAGACACCATATTTTCTTTTAGAAAGGTACAGTACTGTTAAGAAACCGCACAACGTTTGACGATAAAGAATAAACAATTCCATAAACTGGTGATTTTTTTTTAGAATATCATAATAATTACAATGAACTAGGTACGTGTATGTGGGGTATATTCTGGAGGAAGGTACGCTCACTATTCTGCCTATAAATCAGTTGCTATTTAAAGTTATTTAATTTTTTGCATTTTTGAAGCATTTTTAAGTGTTTTTGTGACCAAGGTTTGTAAAAATACGTGCGTTTGTCATTCAGTCATTCAGTTAGAAAGTTCGAGTTAAAATTCTAATTCTTTAATTGATGTTGATGACTTAACATGTATACAACGTGTATAATAAATTTTTTATACAAACTGTGTACATAATTCTGAATATTTTTGATATCATATATCGGCTTCTCTCAGCTTGTTCTTTATTGCTAAAAAAAGCACAACATCCGCGATCAACTGAACGGTGGTTAAGCATGTACGATAAGTTTAGATTTTTAAATTGTAAATATCATCAATATTTAATTCATCAAATGAATATTGTCAGTTTTGCATATGCGACTATCACTTAAAACCACAATGAAGATCATCCATCGCACCTTAAAAAAAATCCACATCAGAAATGATCGCACTTACAGTAATAATGCATCGCGCCAAATGTCATAATGAATCGTTTTCAATGACTTTATTCTAGACTCTGTTTATCATATTATTGTACATTGTAAACATGGTAAAGTCATATTCTAATGAAATTGTATTAAAAAATACATTCAAATCATTTATTGTGTATTTTCCAAATGTAAACAAACACAGTTTTCCCCATAATCCTTTATTCTAATATAGTAATAATCTCATATGACAGTGAAAATGAACTATCTGGATTCGCACTATATATACACTGCTAAAATAAAATGCGATTGGAAAACACATTTTGTTGCTATGAAAACAAGATTTTATAATTAATGTTTTGAAATTATAATTTCCTCTAATTGTATTTTCATTTAAATTATTTCCTTGTGTAAAATTGTTCAATGCTACATCATCATGTATTGCCAAAAGCGCATATCAATGTTTCTTATTTTAAAATATTTAAGTTTTACAACCTGTACAGGAACAGGGAGATTTTGTAGCAGAATCCAAAGGTAAATGTTTTCTCTCTTTCAAATCTAAGTATTTCATTAAAAGGTTTATTGTTTTTCTTCAAATCATTAGGTAGGTCATATTGCTCCAAATATTTCTACGCATTTTAACATCCATAGCTTTCACATGTTTCATATGTTTCGGTTTAAGAGTTCATGTTGAAGGTAAATCCAGGAAAGCGCATCGCACGCAGATAATGTATAAAGTGTAGTTTGCAATACTTAATGCAAAAAAAAAACCAAAACGGATTCATATTCCTTATTTTTAAAAGCTACCAGGTAGAAGAACACCTAAAATTGACCCTAATTATTTTAAACCATCCTCTTTTCGTTCCATTCTATAAATAACCCCCTACTATTTGGATCATTTATGGGCATATCTTTGTTATCAGTATTTTCATATAAGAGAATAGATTTGATTTCCCTTCGTTAAAATGGTGAAATAAAATTTCCGTCTTGTGTGTTCATGCCAACAGTCTTCATTTATTTGCTATAACATATTGCAGAAAGGGCCATTACAATGTCACACATGTCCCCAAAAGATTGTTCAAAGTATAAATATAATCTGTTAAGAGATACTTTTCATGAAAACAATATATTTATCAATCTAAAGATTAAAAATATAAACAGGTGTTTTTTGTCATTTTTCGCTAACTTGCGTCGACAAACTCATGTGAAAAAAGGGGGAACAGTAGTATATCATTTTTCTTGCTTTAGTAAGGCCTTCTGTGAACCGTACTCTTATGACAAAAGTCAACTTCGGAGCGCTGTGATTATATTTATTTAAAAAAAAATTGTTTATGAACAACATGAGTTTAACATGGTCATGCCAACATTTGACTTCTACAGAATAACAAATAACTTATATAAGGCATAACCGTTTAGCCTTGTCTTTATTATCAAAAGTAGAAAATTTATAAAATGTTAGTATTGTCACCTATGGACGGAAAAATACAACTGTTTTCCCTTGATTGAAGATAGCAAGAGAAATCAAAATCGATCAGAATTTAGTTATATTTCACGGTTACTTATGCATCCACACAACAGAAAGACACTAAGAACAGATCTGAGAGTATTCGCAATTACTGACAGCTAGTTCAAAGCCAATAACAACTAATGAAAAAAATCATGCATCCAAGACTAAAATATCAATGGATTTAGTGTAAAGACGTCATAAACAGTCAGAGAAAATCATGACCTTGTGCAATGCCAAGACAAACATAAAACATACATCAAGAAGGTAAATGAAACCGAGCAGGACACAAACGACACGTACCATTTGACTGGTTGGACATCTGTATTGCGATGAGTCAATACTAACATTTACCAAAGTTGTACAAGTATCCATGTTAATGGTATTTATAGATAGTCTATGATAGGTCTGATGATTGGATATTCAAATTAATGCATGGATAATTTTGTAGTTGTTTTATGCTATTCTAGCCATTGCTGCAGTGAAGTGTGTTAGAACTTTTTTTTAAATTTTTACAGTTGGTATATATTCAACCTGGCATCGAAAATTCTGAAAGTGAACAGACTAATTCAAATACTCTCTGACAAATTTAAAGAAGTCAACAGAAATAGACTATTGCACAAATGTGTTGCAATGAGTCAATACATATATTTATCAAAGTTATACAAAAGTCAATTATCGATTTAAAAACTGTAATTGGCTTTTGCAAGTAGCTGCTCCCATGTAATTAATGTTTCATGTTCGGTTGTGTTAACGAATTAGTACATAAGACGAAAATAATGTGTTTTAGAAAGAATCTGTTGTTATCTAATAATTTATGGTTTAATATGCTTATATTTGAGCAATTATACTGAAAATGATAGAAAATTTAAACTCCTATAGTATTTATAAATAATTAATAGTAAAGTAGGATTGCGAATAGAGTTTAAACTTAAATAATTTTTTTTATATTCAATGTAGCGTAAAAAGGAATAACCACACTTTTTACTACACGAGACGTTATTGTTGTTTGAATTATGATAATATTGACAGCAAAGATTGCAGAGGTAAGTATGTCGATAAGCATCGAATTATGTGATTCCTTAGTTGTCACATTATTTTTATGATCTGTTCGAAATGCAATGGACTGTTTTTAGCTATCTGTTCAATAAGCAAGAAACCCATTACATACGGAATCAATAAAAATAATTGAAAATCTATTTTCATTTATCAACAATATAATGTAGAATGCGCTTTTATTTCGAAATATTATACTCATAATTAAATCACTGCAGCTGACATAAAATAATATTTCCTGCAGTCAGTTTGTTTAGAAAAATATATTTCCGCTATTACTTGTATCATTCCTGGAAAGTTATTTATCCCGAGATTATTAGTATATATGATATTATTTAAACGAAATCCGGAACCGAAAGTGAAAATGTAATATTGAGTCCATTGATAAAACAGGTTTAACCTTATAAAAGTATAACTTTACATGACCTTCAACAAGTTTTCATGTTTCATTTCAATTATGTTATTGTCATATAAATGAATATCAATATGAACAACAAAATTCTAGATTGGGAAAAAAATATTGAACTACATTTTAACGAAACAAAGCAAAGAACAATTTATTCGGTGGAATTCAACGACACTATATATTATATTTGAAATTAACGACCATCCAAATCTTCACATTATATGTCAAATATTTATTATGGACATTTGGAGACTATATTTTCCTCTTTTTAAAAAAAGTAGTTTATAAAAAGTGGTTTTTGTTTGTAAGCAAAAACCATCTGTTATACTAACCATAAAAGGAAACACAAGCACTGAAATATCGTATATAGTAAATGGATACTCAATATGTTATAGGGTCGGTTGAGAACAAAACTTTACGACGAAAGAGATGTTTTTAGCTTTCCAAATGAGAACTTTCCATTTCTTTGTAGCAACATTCCTGCATATGAAGTATATATCTCTCAGTTAATACGATATTTCAGGGCTTTCGTTTCCTATTATGATTTCCTTGCTGCTTAAAAAGAAACTACGAAACAAAGCGTTACAAGTGGCGAAAATCATCCCGTTGAAATTTAACGGACGCCTTCACGAGTTGGATAGATCGGGACCTTTGTTGGTCGATCTATACATATCTATCCAACTCGTGATGGCGTGAGTTTCTTATTGACAACACATTTGTTGAATTTGGAGGTACACTTTTTCAACAATTTGTCGGCATTCCTATGGGAACGAACTGTGCGCCTTTCCTTGCCGACCTTTTTTTTATTTTCATATGAGTCGGAGTTCCTTCAGACACTTGTCAAAAACAAGAAGATCAAAGAAGCCAGATCATTTAATTTCACATTCAGATATTTTAGTGATTTTATTTCCATTAACAATCCAAACTTTTCTGATTGGGTTCCATCAATATATCCTCCAGAACTAGTAATTAAAGAAACAACAGACACGGCTTCCTCCACCTCATTTTTAGACTTATACCTCGAATTTGACATAAACGGTCATCTCAGTACCGGAATCTATGACAAACGAGACGATTTTAATTTTGAAATTTTCAATTTCCCCCACTTTATATTAGTAGCAATATATCAACTTCACCTGAATATGGAAAAGTAAAATAACAACAACAAAAAAAACTTAGCTCCGAGAAAAATTCAGAACGGAAAGTCCATAATCAAATGGCAAAATCAAAAGCTCAAACACATCAAACGAATGGATAAAAACCTCATATTCCTGACTTGGTACAGGCACTTTCTTATGTAGAAAATGATGGATTAAACCTGGTCTTATAGCTAGCTAAACCTCTCACTTATATGACAGTCGCAAAAATTATATTGACAACAATGTGTGAACAAAACAAACAGACATAATAGGTAAAAATGTCAAAAATAAGGGTACAGCAGTCAACATTGTGTTATAATCTTAATTACTATAAAAAACAAACAAATATGTAACAAAGAAACACAAAAAGGCATATAGACAAAGCACATTAGCAAACATGAAAGACAAAAATACAAAAATTTACCATAGCACAATAACACAATGACGGGATGTATAAGTACAGAGCCACGTCAAATGGATATCACCAAAAATAGACTAAACAGTTAAAGTAGTATTCATAAAGACAAAAAAAAAAAAGAATCTATAACACGTTATTAAGATGATAAACAACGTCAGTACCCATAATCTATACTTCAAGACCATCGTGTATTATTTGTGAAGTTGATACGGAGTATTATTAACAAGGTCTTGGTACCTTCCGATGAACTATTTAGAACAAGGACGAGACGTTCTTTGACATACCCCTGGTTCATCAACTTTCTACTCAGACACTGGCGACGTATTACAAAGTCTGAGTAGCAGCTGCAAGCTCTTGAATACCGAATATGTTGGGAAATATATATCCCATATGAAGGTGAAGTTGGTAGCTTCTGGTACTCAGATGACCGCGTATGTCAAATTCGAAGGATAAGTCTAAAAATGAGGCGGAGGAAGCCGTGTCTGTTATTTCTTTCATTTCTAGTTCTTGAGGTATTTAATGGAACCCAATCAGAAAAGTTTGGATTGTTAATGGAAAGAACATCATCAATATATCTGATTGTAAAATTAAATGATCTGGCTTCTTTGATCTTCTTGTTTTTGACAAGTGTCTGAAGGAACTCCGACTTATATAAAAATAAGAGGAGGTCGGCAAGAAGAGGCGCACAGTATACATTTCTAACTCATTCAGGATTCAAGAACTTGCAGCTGCAACCCAGACTTTATAACGTCACCAGTGTCTGAACAGTAATTTGATGAACCAGAGTTATGTCAAAGAACGTCTCGTCCTTTTTCTTAAAAATGTTCATCGGAAGATACCAAGACCTTGTTGATAAATATTACGTATCAACTTCACAAATACTGACGTTGTTTATCATGATCTTAATTACGTGTTATAGTGTTCTTTTATTTGTCTTTGTAAATTATTAAACTTTACTGTTTAGTTCATTTTTTGTAATATCCTTTTGTCGTGGCTCGGTACTTGTGCATCCCGCCAATGTGTTGTTATGCTGTGGCCATTTTTCCGTATCAACTTCACAAATAATACATGATGGTCTTGCAGTATAGATTCTAGATACTGACGTTGTTTATAATCTTATTACGTGTTATAGTGTTCCTTTTTTTGTCTTTGTAAATTATTAACCTTTACCGTTTAGTCCAGTTTTTGTAATATCCTTTTGGCGTGGTTCGGTACTTGTGCATTTCGCCAATGTGTTGTTATGTTGTGGTCTTTTTTTGTATTCTTGTCTATCAATTTTGCTTATGAGCTTTGTCTATACACCATTTTGTTTTTCTTTTCTTAACATATTAACGTTTTTTTTTATAATGATTAAGATTATAACACAATGTTGACTGCTGTACTCTTATTTTTGACATGTTTACCTATTCTGTCTGTTTGTCTTGTTCACACATTGTCGTCAATATAATGGAATTTTATGCGACTGTTATACAGGTGAGAGGTTAAGCTAGCTATAAAACCAGGTCTAATCCACCATTTTCCACCTAAGAAAATACCTGTACCAAGTCAGGAATATATCAATTGTTTTCCATTCGGTTGATGTGTTTGCGCTTTTGATTTTGCCATTTGATAAGTGACTTTCCGATTCGTATATTTTATTTAAAGGCTCGTTGGTTCCCATAAGTGTTTGCTATATTTGATACTAAAATTGTTTTTTTAGATTTTCTGTTCTTTAAATGATATTTTCATCTTTTTAGAATGTAGTATTGGATTTACGTCAAAAGCAGGGAATAGATGTATACCGTGTTCATATAATACTTATGGTGTTAGATGCGCATCACATTGTAACTGTTTACAACAGCAAAGGTTATTTGTTTTCTTATTTTTAGTTATCATTTCCAAAAAAACTATTGCAGTATCCAATTTTTGAAAAAGAAAACGATTCAATGCTAAGAAATATCAATAGCCGTTTACAATACTGAATATTTAATACTTTTGCAATTCATCGAAAAGTAATAAATTGTTTACAACACTTAAAACTAAACGATTTGAAAGTTTAAAAGTCATCACACAAGACGCTCAACTAAAAACACAAATTTCAAAACGTGAAAGATTTCCCCTCCTTTCAGTTCTGTGTATATGGTACAGTACAAACTGAACAAACTAGAACTCAGTAGGTTCCAGAATATACTACTAGAAAATTAGATTTCAAAATTTTTCTATTTAGATCCTGGATTGTATGAAATTTCTAGTAAGATCTAAAATATATCTATAAACTACAGTAAGTGCGAATCCGAATGACACTAGCTTTATTATCTATTTATTAATTTGAGGTGTGCACTGCATGAGTAGGAATACAATTTTATAAAAAAAAAATCCCGATAATAAATAAATGGTTTGTTTATAACATCATGTAAAAATACTTTGCTTGTGACATTTTCTTGAGCAAACATTTTTTGCAAAACACAACACAAACAACATTTTGTTTTACACTTCCCTGCACAGTAAGCTGTGAGTTACAGAGATAATCCAAATTACAATAATAACAGATTTTTTTTTCAAATGCCTGAATATGTTACAAATATAAGAGGGATAAGAGGGTTATGTGTAATAATATTGTAATAATATTGTTTTAGATCATAATATAAAAAATGAAATGCGGTATGATTGCAAATGATACAACTTTCCAACGGAGTCCAAATAAAGTAGTTTTTACAAAATATATGGACTTAAACAATGAGCAAAACCAATCTAGTCAACTATAAAAGCACCGACATGACAAAATGCAAAACTAATTAAACGAAAAAAGCAAAAGCCTGATTTATGACAAATAAATAAACGATAAAGAAATATGACAAACAGCAACCAACGACAATCATAAAATTACTGGCCCCTGACATTGGACATGCACTTGCAGAATGTGACGGACTTAAACGCTCACTCCTCCTACTTATCCTAGGACAATGGTGTAGCAGCACTGCATAAAACAAACTGCAAAACTCAGTTGGAAATGACTTGATTAGGAAAAATTACAAAAAAGACTTGCATCAAGACTAACATATATAGTATCGATCTGAGAGTACATGCAGTTACTGAAAGTTAGGGCAAAGGTGATTGCAACTAATGAATAAAAAATCACTCAACGGATTTTGGTGTAAAGACGTCACGAATAGTCTGAGCTAAGCATGACCTTGTGCAATGTCAACATATAAGTATATAATATCGACCGTGTGTAGCACCAGAAGTTTTCATAAATATATAGCATAAATGTTTTAATGTATCAATATCAAAATAAATATTAGTACCTGATAAAACAAATGTTCAAAGATCTTACAACGGTATTACATTGATATCATGTAAGCATAAGTTAATTCAAAGGATCGATACTGTTACATGGATCATATCCTAATTTACTAAAAACATTACTGTAACTACTAGGACGTGATAATCCGTATTTGATAAGAATTGTTAAGCAACAGCCAAACTTCAAAACCAAGTCTTTGCATCTAAGAAAGAACTTTGATGGTAAAACATTTCCGACCAAATAATTAACCAGTTATCCATATAATATACGTTCATTGAAATCTAATACGTCACTATACAGACACGAGCACAGAACAAAATATCCACACCACAAGAAGGGGGCAAATGAATATCACCGTCCACAAAAGGAAAATTAAAAATGGGGAAAGAACAATCGAAGTGTATTACGTTATGAATCAAATCAAAATATCTTGTATTTCTAATACGTATTGCTTGTTTATAACTTATAACATATCTAGATATTCCAGTTTCTACTGAAAGATATTGGAATTCTGACCTGTACTAGATTTGAAAAAGTGCAAAGCAGGATTTCGATTTCTACGAGTATAATTTTCGAAATACGTTAGTCTTATAAGACTTATAATTTGTGCTAGACATTAGTTGTGGTAAATTTAAATTTCTGTACTGATTTGTTTATTACATTTATCAAGATGTCATCATATACATGGCTGCCTAGACAATATAACAGAACAGGACCTTATGACTTTGGACACCAAGAATTCATGTAAGTTAAAGCCGCACATACAGACAAATAAGGAATTATTAAAAACAAAAACTTCACAATAGAAAGTTATCTATATAACATCATAATATGTTATATCTTGGTTGGACCAATAAACCTTTTTCGACCTTATTCAGCTTACTTATGAAGCATACAGTAGCCCAGAAGTCACCACTTCTGTGTTGACATGAATTATCATTGATATTGTAATATTCAAAATTTATTGTTTACAGAACTTTGAATTGCCCGAAATGCTAAGTATTTTCTACCCCAGGAACGGAATACCGTTGCTGAATTTAGCAAAACCTTTCGGAATTTTTGGCCCTCAATTTGTTTACATAAAAGTGGACATATTCAATAACAGAAGAACACATACAGAGACATCAGTTGAAAACAAACAAAACAACTATTTCAGAGAAAAAACGGGAGTTTTAAGATATTTTCTAACAGGCTTTCCAAATAATTTGAATATTTACAAAAACATCTAGGTCAGTAGAAAGGAAGTTGAGTTTTCGTCATGAATTGTCCGTCAAAAACTGTTTTGTTTTTAATTATGTTGTGGTGGGGAAAATAGAATATGTAGAAGAATAATGAACATATCAATAACTGAGATGTAGGTCATATAAGACAATTCCTGTGGTAAAATAATAAGTCTGTTCTGACATGCGTAATTATACTTGCGAATCAATCAAATCCGACCCAACTAAAAACGAAATATTTTTGTGCATTGTTTTTTATCCCAACTTTGATTAAGGTGTAAATTAAACATTTTTTTTTTTTGGAAAATAAGTCCAAATAATACCCTTACTGCGCTTAGCTCTTTCGGTTACTCGTACAAATATAAAAACTTGAAGATCTAATATATAAGTCAATGAGAAGTTGAATGAAACACTTACACTTAAAACAATGAAACAAAAACAAAAACAAAAGCAAAACGACAATGACATCTAGAGGTCAACATACGGCTCTCAACCATAAAGATGTGTCTATACAGTATGTGGAGCTTTCAATAACCTCAATTCCATTAAATTAGTGAATAAATTTAACAGAGACTATCACGGAACTGCTTCCCACACCAAATGTTCCAAATTAAAAACAAAAGCAGTAATATATGACAAAAGTAAAATAAAAAAATACCGAATTCCAAGGAAAATTCAAATCGAAAAGTTCCTTATGAAATGGCAAAATCAAAAGCTCAAACACATCAAACAAATGGAAAACCACTGTTATATTCCTGACTTGGTACAGGCATTTCCTTATGTAGAAAATGGTGGATTAAACCTGGTTTTATAGCTAGCTAAACCTCTCACTTGTATAACCGTCGCATAAAATTCCATTATATTGATAACAATGTGTGACAACAGCTGACAAATTTCCTGACTAAAACAGGTATAATTATTTATTTTGTAAAAATATTTCCTTTCTCTATTGGTACTGTACACATATACCTAACAAGAAAATTATTTTCATTTACCTGTGTTTAAAGTTATTGCAAATGGCTGATATTTTTGTTCGAGCATATTGTTTTTCTTTAATTGTTTAACATTTCTTACCGATATAACATGTTACTATTATTATTCTTCCCTTAGTTTATTTATTTTGTATTTACATTGTGTCATAGGTCAAATTTATTTGTTCAGTGTATGTTCAATGGTGTTAATATGTCCTTTGATTGAGTTAAGCTATTTCAGTTGATATTTTATAGTGTGTCGTTCTTTGTTGTGATGTTACACTATTGTTTCAGAAAAAGAGTAAAGGTTAGGTACCATTAAAACGTTTAAACCCGCTGCATTTGTTTGCACCTGTCCTAAGTCAGGAATCTGATGTTCAGTAGTTATCGTTTGTTGATGTGGTTCATAAGTGTTTCTCGTTTCTCGTTTTTTATATAGATTAGACCGTTGGTTTTCCCGTTTGAATGGTTTTACACTAGTAATTTTATAGCTTACTGTTCGGTGTGAGCCAAGGCTCCGTGTTGAAGACCGTACTGTGACCTATAATGGTCTACTTTTATAAATTTTGACTTGGATGGAGAGTTGTCTCATTGGCACTAATACCACATCTTCTTATATCTATATATGAAAGTTATTGTTGTGTTAGATGTCGACCTTCCCCTTTTAATCTCGATATATGAAATAACATAAAGTACATAATAGAAATGAAATAAAATCAGGACAACAAAAACATTTCTTTTATCATACCTATAAACAAAAAAACAAAAAAACAAGCAAATCAATAATAGACAATACAATTGTCAAAGAATGGTGGTAATGCATGCAGTTTCCGAAAAGGAGCTCAAAATATTGAACATGCTTATATGAAATCAAGACATTCTACACGCTCATTCAGTGGCTGTACTTTGTAGAAGACTTTAAACAGTACAATGAGCTCGTGCGTTGTATATATAGGTCGAATTCAGAAATTTCTATTACTTAGATAAGAAGAGCTCAAAGGACGATGACAATGATAAATGAATTAAAGCAATAGATACGAACTGATTTTTAATGTGAAAAGGATGTTATATGTTACAGTTTCAAATATGATTACAGATGACTTGTATCAAATAACATCTACTGAAAATACTGAAGATGTGACTAAAGAAACGTTAAGAAAAACTGAACCTTTAAGTAAACCTGTTACCATTCGAGATATTGAGACAATTGACCATGAACATGATGTTAACAAAGGTAAAATACTTTTTGTATAAAAAGTGTCTCATTTATGCCAGAGGAACAAAGTATTGGTTTTAATATTAGATTTAAATTTCTACTTCTTCGAAACAATCTGGAACATATTTATTTTCTAACTCTAGCGGTTATAGCAATTTTACGGCCCCTCATCCTCTTACTGGACTATCATGTGAAGGGGTCTGTTCATGTTCTTGGGCGTTTGAAGTCCAAGAAAACAATTATATCGATTTATTGATATTCTATTTAATGGATGGCAGTCTCTATCTTTTTTTCAGAAAAAAAAACCACAAAAACAGATTCCTTTAAACATTTTCTGGGTAATATATCTTGTCTTGCCGATAATTTTTGATATTTAAATTTTTAACCTAGCTCCTTTATTTGTCACGATAAAAGGCAGCAACTGCAAAAAAATGACATTTCATGACCACTAACTTCAAAACTGGTCGACAGATTTATCTCCAATTTTCAGGGTAGAAACATTGTGTTGTTCCTTTTTGCATTTTACATTTTTAACCGAGCTCCTATAGTTTTCATTTTTTCAGCAAACAACTGCTAAAAATTCAAAAAAAAGATCTTTTGGGGGTTATTACAGCAAAAAAAGAGTTAGATTTTTCCTCAATTTTTATGATGGGTACATCTTGTCATGCTGATCATTTTTGCAGTTTACACTTTTAAACTAGCTTCTATATTTTTCTAAACAATGACAGGGATATGCTATTGATATTAAATCCACATTTCAGGGGGGAATAACTTCAAAACCTGTGAACATATTATTTCAAAATTTGAAGGGTAGATAGAACTTGTGGTTACCATTTTAAGTTCTCTCTTTGTTCTATTATAAGACCTGGCTGTCATATTCATTGATCAACCTGGACGAAAATCACAAACTTTATAGTTGACCTCCGGACAGTTGACGGCAGATGCAAAGTTATGACAAAAGCTCTCATGACCCTTCGGGACAGGTGTGCATAAGATCAGTTGAAAAAGGCTTTACCCATCAGATCGACACCAGCACCAAAAAAAGCCCCTTACTAACGAAATGACTAACGACACAAAATACCGATCTAATACAACTCGCTGTTACTGCAAACTAGTTCAAAGAAAATTACAACTAATTAATAAATCAATGGTCCGAGACAACGTATCTAAAGAATCTGGGACCGAGAGATTACAAACCCTGTATTTTTCATAATTCGATTAAGCAAAAACAAATCCGGGTACCAAACTTAAACTGAACCGAGGAAAACACACATTTTTGAATAAGTTCAAGCGCGGTAAGTTTTATGTTTGATACTAGAACTGCATTTTGTAGCCACCACTGCCATTTACACTCCTGGATTTCTCATTCTGCATAAGTGTCGTTTGTTAACATATCAATGCAATATAATTCTTTTATCATAGATTGTTGTTTACCGATACCTAACAAAATAAAAAACAAATGTGTAAGCGCCAATCTGTCTAAGAAGCAGGCAGTGGTGAAAACATGATAAGCAAAAACCCGCTCAAGTTTACATTAATTTATGTTCAGAATGTATAACGGTGGACGAATATAACATTTGTTTTTCGGTCATCTTTTGAAATTCTTCTAAATTGCCTGATTCATACAAAGACTGATACATTAAAAAATATTCGGTGTTTACAATCTGAGGGTAAAGTACACGTGTTAATAAATTTATTCAACATCGAATAGCATGGCCATTATTTGTATATTTTTTTACATATTTTTAACAGATTCCAAGGAAATTCTTTCGAATACAGCTATATACTGTATCCTTGGAGGAAGTGTAATTTTCATCATTGGATTCTTTTTATGTTTGTTATATATTTTTTGGATGAAAATATTAGCCATATCAAAACGTTTGCACGAACTGCCAGGTTTAACTGTCCCGACGCCACAATCACCCAATGAAATACCGGAAAGCCAGTTCGAATTCAATGAGGTAAACAATTATGAAGAAATTGACGAAGAAAACATGTTTCGAAAACGGATTTTTAGTGAACATGATGCCATCAGTACTAGTAGTTCGACGAATAAATCTGGATGCTGTGGGACCGATATTGATGGATACTTACACTCGTATCATTCCTTGGCTTTCGAAAATAATGCGTGTGAAAACAATGACGAAGGAACGGATATTACTTCAGTAGATATCGATATACTGAAAAATAAACGTTATCGGCAAATGTCTGAACCTGTTCATGGAAACATTAAATCTTTATATTTGAAACACAAAATCAACAATATTACGCCAATGATACATGAACAGGATATTCACGAAACGTCAAATGAAAATCTCCAGGAATGTATTATTTCAGGCAATACTGACAATGGTGCTATAATTGTGTAACAATAGCAAGGCCACTTGGTGGTAATGAATTTATATAAGCTATAGATCAATTGGTAATGGTTATCGCGAATTTATATATTTATACTGCACATACTCTTTAATTTGACTATTTCGCTCTAAACAGCTTCCATTTTTATTTGATTATTTCCAAATGATCAAATTCTGGATCTGGTAAGTTAAAAAAAGAGACATTTTCTAACAAGTCACTATAGGAACCTTGATTTTCAAAGACAAATTGCCATATTGCTGTTCACTGTACTCTTCAGATCTATTGCACCAACAAAATATCAGTTTAGCATGTTCAACACTTCTGATAAGCTGCAATTTTTTTTTTTCAAATTTTGTTAAGACCCCTTGATTTTTGACTAAAGTTAAACTATCGAAGCTTTATCATAAAAGACTTATAAGAAATCTGTTAAGATTAGATATTGCTTGAGAGAAACATATTTTTTTTTCAGTAAACATTCTGAATATTAAAAACACTGATCATTAGCAGAGTATCAGAGATCTTTATAAGAGAATTACATTAATACTAAATGCGACCGTCTTATTAGAATTCTGTTAAGAACTACATTGGCATTGGATGCGACCGTCTTGTCAGAATTCTGTTAAGAATTGCATTGGTATTGGATGCGACTGTCTTGTCAGAATTCTGTTAAGAACTACATTGGTATTGGATGCGACCGTCTTGTCAGAATTCTGTTAAGAATTACATTGGTATTAGATGCGACCGTCTTGTCAGAATTCTGTTAAGAATTACATTGGTATTAGATGCGACCGTCTCATCAGAATTCTGTTAAGAATTACATTGGTTTTAGATGCGTCCGTCTTATCAGAATTCTGTTAAGAATTACATTGGTATTTGATGCGACCGTCTTATCAGAATTCTGTTAAGAATTACATTGGTATTTGATGCGACCGTCTTATCAGAATTCTGTTAAGAATTACATTGGTATTTGATGCGACCGTCTTATCAGAATTCTGTTAAGAATTACATTGGTATTGGATGCTATAGTCTTATCAGAATTCTGTTAAGCTATATCATGATTAAATTGCTATTAGATGCGACAGACTTATCAGAATTCTGTTAAGAGTACCTTTTGTTTGAAAGACGGGGCACATTTAATCTTTGAGAATAGCATCTTTCAAAAAATAAAAGGCTTTAGCACATATATAGCTCAGTGTGCTCTGAAATACCTTTACCGTGCATGGTGAATAAATCTGATACTAGTGTGTTTATAGATATAAGAAGATGTGGTATGAGTGCCAATGAGACAACTCTCCATCCAAGTCAAAATTTATAAAAGTAAACCATTATAGGTCACAGTACGGTCTTCAACACGGAGCCTTGGCTCACACCGAACAGTAAGCTATAAAGGGCCCCAAAAAATTACTAGTGTAACACCATTCAAACGGGAAAACCAACGGTCTAATCTATATAAAAAACGAGAAACGAGAAACACTTATGAACCACATCAACAAACGACAACTACTGAACATCAGATTCCTGACTTAGGACATTAACTTTATTCTTCTTAAAACGTTGCATTAAGGTAATTTGTTTAAATATATATATATAAAAGGCGAAGCTTTATTGGATACATCAGAATATTCCTAAACTCACAGTTTTTTATTGTATTTCTTATATAAATATATTAGTATATGTTAACTGGATCAAACACTTAGTGAAAAAAAGAATATTAAAAAAGCATAATCATATCATAGCATGTCATGTGAGAAAAATGCTTGCCTCGTATACTTGAAAAATAAGAAGCCCCGTACCAAAAACAAAAATCATTTCTTTGAATAAAAGACGTATAAATGAATGATTACACATTACATATTCAATGGGAATAAATAATTTAAAGAATTATCAAAGACAAATGACTGCCTTGCTGATCTGAAAACCGCTCTAGACATTACATCAACTCATTCATAAATAAAGTAAGCCGAGTAATATGTAACATATGTAACAAATGCTATGGACGGATCCCAGGACAAGTTGGTTGCAGTGTACTCCTCTGTGCCAGTTTTGTGCTGTTTAAACATATTTATTTGCATGTTGTAAAATCCAGCGTTATATACCCGCTCGGGTTTAACAACTTTTTAATCTTTTTTTTCGACACGCTAACTATAGAATTGTCTTTCCAATGGTGTATCGCCTTCTGTTCTTGTGGATTCCTATTTCTAGTTTCTCCTCATACCGGGTAGTTATGAACCTTCAAATAAAATACAATATTGGATATAATTTCCCATCTTTAATTATTTTACTTATCTTTTTTTTTCACATACATAAAATTCAGAATGGAAATAGGGAATGTGTCAAAGGGACAACAACCCGACCAAAGAGCAGATAAAAGCCGAAGGCCACCAATGGGTCTGCAATGCAGCTAGAAAATTCTGCACCCGGAGGTGGGCCTCAGCTAGCCTCTAAATAAAAATGTGTACTAGTTCGGTGAAAATGGACGTCATACTAAACTCCAAAACATATAAATGAACTAAAATTAAAAAACATACAAGACTAACAAAGGCCAGAGGCTCCTGACTTGGGACAGGCGCAATGTCAATTACAATTACACTGCTTATTATATTTGAAGATGTGTAAACTTTGAAGAATATTTCATTATTTTATGCTGGATTTCAGATGCGTTTAATTGGATCGGTTTGTTGCCACTACATTACATCTGACGAGTTATCAGCTATATGTGAACAATGTCCAGTATTATATGAATTTTAATAAGACAGAGGCTCAAAAACACAAACTAACTAAACTCAAGATTTAAGTATGCCCCACTCCATATTCACTCTTACGGGAAGTATTGCAATCTCCTCGTCATTCAAACAAATATATTTCCGTAATCTTATTCTCAGAAACATGCGAAAAGAATGACGTAATATTTGGTCAGCAACTAACAACTATGATTTGTATCATGTGTACGGTTTTCGGATCTGTACAACATCTTATATAAGGGATCTTTATCCTTCACTTGACCATTCTAATATACACTTACAGGTTGACGGTTGACAGATAACATGAAGCGAAAACATATAGGGGCCAGTTGAAGCTTGTCTCCGTCTGCGAGATTTTCTCGCTGTGTTGAAGACCCATTGGTGGCCTTGGTCTGTTTTGAGTTCATTGTCGGGTTGTTGTCTCTTTGACACATTCCCCATTTCCATTTTCAATGTTATACTATACGTTCATATAGACTCCAATGGTATCCTTCTTCTGTTGCAAGTGTACGGTTTTGTTCAAATTACTAGCTGTTCACATGACAGTTTTATCTTGGGTCCACATTGCCTTTGAGTCATGTCGATTTTATTTTAAAAAAAAACCAAAATCAACGATAGGGATGGAAAAAACCTATACGTTAAATTGCAGGATAGAAACAATATTCGCATATTGTAGGAAAATATAAATGTAGTTCTACTTGCTACGAAACCAGAGAAAATCAATACTAGCCTCATTTTTCTATCTGTTTCTAAAGCACGCGCCAAATAAATGTTATATCTTCCGACACCATAAACACTGTACGAATATATTGTATATAAAACCTATTTTCTCGATACATTCTATATAAAACCTATTTTCCCGATACATTCACGATCTAGATTATGCTGAACACGGCATCTGGTGCATTCTTGTCAGAACTTGCCTTCTTGTAAGTTATACATATAATAATGAGAAGATGCGGTATAATTGCCAATGAGACAACTCTCAACCAGAGACCAATACATGTTTGTTTTGTCAATTGTTGAATACGGGGCAAACCTCTTCCGCAGTAAGAAATTATCTATACTAATATAAAAACAAGAAGACGCGGTAGGATTGCCAATGAGACAACTCTCCAACAAAAACCTAAACAACGATGTCAACAATGTAGGATATTGTAAGGCCTTCAATAATGAGAAAACCCCATACCATATAGTTAGCTTTTAAAGGGCAAAAGATCACCCCCTATTATTATTTTATATTTTTGAATATTCTTAATAAAATAAATCAATATTGTTCATCTGGTTTTCCTAATTTTTTTTAACTTTTTCTAGCTATAATTAACACAGTCAAACAAAATTTGCATGTGCCTCACCTCCTCTCAAAGGAGGATTGTTTGATAGCAACAGAAATATAAGTCATTGCAACAGTGCATTTACAAACACCCATTTAATACAGTTGTCGCAATGGATTTTTAAGACGACGACATTGTGATGCTTTCTGTACCCGAGGTCATGGGATTCAACATATTTATATTACAAGAGCCGATGTGGCTGTGTATTAATACATCTCGCACAAACAAACGGAGATCCCTACGCTTGAGTCGTCGCCTCTCAAACGATGAAACTGGTATCATTATCTGTCCTCTGTGATACCACCAGGAGTTTTGATAATACGCTTCTGTAATAATGAATGTTAAGACATGTTTTAATGGTGTCCCTTTTCCGAGTATCAGAAACTTGAGTCAATTAGACTACTTTAGACAAATGTTAGAGCTTACATCCACAGTGAAGTGTTAAATTATTAGGAAACAATAATTTCCATATGACTTTAATAAATATATCATATTGAATGAGCATTTCATGTGTATACTAAACTCAAATGAATGAAGAATTTTAATTTTAATTTTTGTGTATAGTGCTTGTTTAATTTAAATTATTGTTTTACTTCAACGTGTTTAACTGTAAGTTTTATTTGATATAAAGTTCAAGAACAAATTTGTTTGCAAAATAGTGAGCAACCCCGGCTTAGGATTCATACTTATTTTATATACCTACTCACGCCTCAATTTAATTGCAAACCCTGGCAAATACTCTGGAATGTATTTTCTTTTCTTATTTACCCATATAAAATTATTCTTTGATTATTTATTTTTCACGATAATCGCCTTGTTATAGAGCGCCAATACATGAGCTTTATAAAATTCAGACTAAATAATGGAAGGTATTATGTATTAATTTCATAAAGTAAGTCAGGAAGATTTCAAGAAGGGGAACGGAGGGTCTAGTTACACGGAATAATAAACGTTTATATACAAATTAATTCCAGCTGCTTTTATTGACCGCAGAGGAATGTTTGTCAGTTAACATCCTTATGATTAATCAGGTCACCGTAGTCACTTTG